AAACAATTCCACAAAGGAGTTTGCTTTCATGACTAACCATTTAAACATTGTAAATCACTGTTAAGAGCCAGTTTGGTGTAGTGATTAAGGAAGAGGTAGTCCTTGACTTATACCTATTCGTTTAATGACCGTTCAAAGCGGCACTGAAAAAAGGGACTTATGACCATTTTTCACACTTAAGACCATTGTGGCATTTCCCCAAGGTGACGTGATCAAAATTCAGATGCCTGACAACAGGTTCATGTTTATGACAATTGCAGAGTCCCAGGGTTATGTGATCAACTTTTGCAACCTCATGACCAGCAAATTCAGCAGAGAAGCCAGATTTATCTAACAACCATGTTACTATCTTAACAGCCCGCAGTGATTCACCTAATAAGTGTGGCAAGAAAGTTTGTAAAATGAAGCAAAACTCACTTCTGTTGCCTGGCTTAGCAACAGAAATTTGGGGCTCAGTTATGGTTGTAAGTCAAGGATTGTCTGTACCACGCCGTGGAAATGTTAACTGAATTCTAGTCCTACCTTAGGCACAAAACAAGCTGGGTGACCTAAAGACAGTCACTGTCAATCAGGGGTGGGATCTGACAGGGTTAACTACCGGTTCGGTAATTTACGATGTGCTTCCCAGCACGCCGCGTGGGCGTGTAAATCTTTGTCAGCTTGCTGCCTGGACAGCTGAGCAGCGCTACGTGCAGGGAAGCAGCGTTTGAAAAAGCACTTTTTTCCTGCTTTTTTCAACCACAGCTGTGCCTTGCACAGCAGCTGAGGTTGAAAAAGTAGGAAATAAAGGTCAGGTAAGAGCCCGGGAGGGCAGGTGGGCCAAAACAGCAGCAGACATAGAACTGGTTCTATGTCTGCTGCTCTTCAGAGCTACCGGTTCTACAGAGCCGGACAGAACCAATAGAATCCCACCCCTGCTCTTAATCCTAGGAAGCAAGCAATGGCAAACCCACTTCTGAAAAAAAAAACTTGCAGGAAAACTGCAGGGACTATTCCAAGCAGTTGCCATGAGTCAACATTGACTCCAAGGCATCAAGGGGAGAGCCGGTTTGTTACAGTAGTTAAGGTATCAGGCTGCAAACTAGGAGCCTGCAAATTCTAATCCTGCCTTATGCCTGAAATCAAATGGATGGTTTTGGGCCAGTCCCTTTTTCTCAGCCCCAGTAACAGGCAATTGCAAAACACTTCTTAAATCTTGCTAAGGAAATGGAGGGATGTGCTGTCAGTTGCCAGGAGTCAAGACTGATTCAAAGGCACACACCGCTCCCCCCAAATACAATCTATCCATCCAACTACTTTTTATAACTTCTGTTGGACCAGGAACAAAAATATTCTCTGTTATCATCATGATGGTGAGCAACCCACAAGCCAAAGGAAAAATCAACACTATTGCATTATATATAATGGGGCCACCAATTCCTATCCTTTATCCAAAGCCTGTACATATATTTTTAATGCATTACTTACAAACCACAAGTAAACATAATATTAAAATCAGGAGTAACAAACAGACAATATTCCATTCAATTTAATTCTCTTCTGAAAAGAGAAAAGTTTGGGGGTGATAAGGGGGTGATTCTTGTTTGGAAGAAGGAGTCCATTGGAGATGGGTGGTTTCTAATAAATTTAAATACATTAAATACAATTGTGTGCTCTGTTTCATTTTGAAGTTAAATCTTCAGTTAGCTTCCTTAATTGTAAAGCTTAGTTGATATAACATGCTTGAGTCATTTTGCAGTGAGAATACCTACATACGTACATATGCATGCATGCATACACGGCAAGATTTACCGAATCCATTCACACAAGGTATAAGCCCTGATTGACAGGATACAATGGCTGGTTTACAAAATATGCCGAATTGCCCAGACAGCAAAAGGCTTCAAATAAATGCATAAATAAGCAAATAAACCAAGCCAACTATTATGTTATTCCTTTTGATGGAAACAGTTCCAATTGTTGAATGATGTGCTGAAGAGCAAAAATGTTGACATACAATATATACAGTCCTTGAGTAGTCCTGGATTGCTGTCCCTAAGCAATGTGGCTGTACAGCATGTTACATAATTGTAGTGCTTAGTGACAGCCATTCAGAGAGTCCCAGTTGTCACTGTAACCCAAGACATGTGGATTGTTAAGTGGAGAGTGGAAGCAGAGGGTGTCACAGGGTTTTGTGGGGGGGCTTAGTGCCGGTAACATGAAAACTTGGTATAACTGGTGTGAGCTCAGGAAAACCAAGCAACGACAGTGCAGGGTTTATGTGGTCTCAGTGAGACCGGGAGAGAAAAGTGTGATGTGTGAGAGCGCAGGAAAGTGGGCAGGGATGGGGGTGTGGGGAAGAGACCCAAAACAACACCCAACCTTCTTTTCTGGTTCTATTGAGAGAGTTTTTGCAGCCGTAATTCAGCATCAGAAAAATAAACACAGACGGCTGATGCTTCATTTCACATCTTTATAAACATAAGTCGATTTTTACAAACCAGTTGTAGATTTCTCCAACAAACTCAGACAGAAATATGTTGCAAGTTTAGAGCAGAGCTCCAGTCTTCAGCAAGCAAGTTAGTTTCATCTTCAATAGATCAGCAAGCAAACAAGAGGAGAGAAACAGTTTCCTCTGCAGAGAATTAAGAGCTGCAGAGCTTAACACAGAGACACTTTTAGTTTCAGTTTCCAGCCTAGGCTACTTCTAGTTTCAGTTTCCAAACAGTCCTCATTGGCTGATTACTTGCTATGCCTTATTCATTGGCTGACCTTGTTAGCAAGCTCTATTCCAGTTCCAGTGTGCAAGCTGCTTGGCAAATACCCAACTATTATTCACCTGACACACGGATACGGCAATGGCTAGAGAGCTTCAAGGACCTGGTGCAAGTTCCTTCTTGCACTGCTGTTGTAACTTTGAACGATTGCTGAATGAAGGCCATAACTTGAGGATTACCTGTATAGTTAAAAAAAAAAAACCACTCCAATTTATAATCATATAAATTCAGGTTTTCTTCCATTACCAGGGATTGTGCTTTCAAATGTTACATGTTCAGTTTCTGAGAATCACAGAGCTAATTATACAGTTTTGTGGCCTGCAGGAAAAAGTGACATTTTCAGCACAGGTGGTGTACATTGCACTGGTTCAGCATAATGAAGGAACCTAGTCTGTGGTCTGTGTTCTTCATGTAAGAGTCAAGCTAGCAGACCCATCAGCACGACATATTTCAATCAAAAGACCACTCTACAAAAAAACTATAATTTGTTTTTATAAAGGGCTGCTTTTGTAATTCTTTAGCTTTTAATGCAGTTTTTGCATTCTACCTTAATGTACTCTGCATTAGTGAAAGGAGAACAAATGTGACCCAGAATGGATGAATTCCGCTGCTAAAAATATATGATTTCACTTTTCAAGCTAGTTCCAGACATTTAAAAAAAAAAAACCTCTTTACCCAGCTAGCAGAAACTGGTTATCAAGAAGTATTAGACTATTGGAAATGGAAGCAGCTAAAACAAACAAGATTAAAACAATAAAAGGGCACCACTGCAACTCAGCCAATCACAGATACACAGCTTAATGTAAGAGCTGATGTGAACCTTGGAAAAAATCCAAAAACGTAATTCACAAGGTAGTGAAGAGAATATTTCTCCAGGCAATCTAAACTGAAGGGGTGGCTGTGACTACATCCATGGGTATAGCTTTAGGCAGTTCACAATAACCCCTAAGATTTCAAATTATTACAGTACGGGTAGTTCTTAGAGCCTGCCTATTACAGTCATAATTCCTAACAGTTGTAAAATGGTTCGGTCACACGAGTAACCTGATTTTATGAGCTTTTTTTTCTACCGCTCCAGGACTTGTCAAAATGAAACAATTGGGGAATGGGGGAAGAATTATCTACCTTTTATCTGATGGGACTATGACTATCCTTATTGAAGCTCAATATTCCCAAATGTGAAAGACCCTCTAAAACAGAGCTTTGTTATCAGCTCCAGAGGCCTTCAGGAAAGCCTTGCCCGCCTTGCCAGCTGCCGAAGAAATGGGCCGGCGAGGCAGGTGTCGGGGGGTGCGAGGCCTGGCTACAACTGTCCAGAGGTAAGTAGTAGGGTGGCTCCACTCCTGTCATCCCCACCCTAGCTTAATTTTTACGCGTGCACTTTGGAGTGGGTGGGATCCTTAATTAGGGCTTATTTTGGGGGGTAAAGCTTATATTGGACACACATGTAAAAAATCAAGCTAGGACTTACTTTCAGGGTAGGTTGTATTTTCAGGTAAACAGGGTACTTTACCACTTTTTTCCTTACTGGGACCTGTCAGACGTTATTTTATGGGTGCAAGCTCTCTACTAGGATTCAAGCTATGAACTTTTGCAGTTGGGTTAATCGTTTACCAGGGTCTCTCAACCTTGGCAGCCTCAATATATGGACTTCAACTTCCAGAATTCTCTCTCTTTCTAGCGTCTCAACATCTTCTTTATAGTGTGTTGACCCAAATGAATGCAATATATTAATCCATTGATTCTTAATGGGTAAATAAAAGAGTTATAACCCAGGGCTGTTTTTAGTGGATCCATACCTCAAAAATCCCACGCCCAGCAAATTTACCACTGCCTGAATAGTCTACTGGCTTTATGTGAGCTGTCTTCTGACCGGATGGAAAAAGAATAATCGACACAGAGAGTCTCTCTTTGACCACCTGCTGCGGCTCTGCTTACAGCTCATCTTTTTATCTCCAAGAACACTCCCCACGGAGTTATATTTCACAGCTCCCAGGTTCCTCAGACATTGTTTTCCCCACCAAGTTTGCTTTGGGTGGTATAAATTCGTTCTTTTTTTTTTTCTTCTTCTTTTGAATGGGTTGGTTTGTTTGGAGAGGACATCTTGTTAGTTTGTTTGCTCGTCCCTTCGATTGCGAAAAATGGTTGGCCTTCATTCATAAGTGGCTTTGGTGGGAAAGAAGAGGGCAGTGGTGGAAGCGGAAAAAGAAGCTCTCCTTCATCGAAGAAATTTGTGGGGTCAAGATGGAAGACTCTCCACCAAAGGAATCCCCACAGATTGCAGCCTTGGAGACAGGTCGGGGGGAAAAGGGGTGATTATACTTTAGGGTGAGGTGGTGATTGAAAATAGCCTACGTGGAATGTAAACCATGGTTTGTTGCTTAGTGTCTTTCTAAATCCAAACAGTGGTGGGTTAAGCAAACATGCTTTTGTATATTTCGTAAACATGACCAGGGATTCGTGGTTAGTTAGATGCATGGAATTATAAATAATTATCTTTATTTAAGAGAAGTCTTTTATAGCCCTGTTCAAAATGATTGTTTCTGAAAATCTCTGGTTTTTGAGGTGTCTTGTTAATATCCCGTTTGATGTATAATGGTTAAGGCATCAGCGGGGGTGGGATCCAACCAGTGTAACTACTGGTTTGGTGATTTTACTAAAACAAGCATAGGAATATTATGAGTTGACAATCAGTATCTTGACCCCAACAATCTTTTACCGACCTTCTGAGGTCAGTAAAATGAGGACCCAGATTGTTGGGGGCAAGATGCTGACTCTGTAAACTGCTTAGAGAGGGCTGTAAAGTGGTATATAAGTGTAAATCCTATTGCTATTCCTATGGAAGGCTGAGTCAACCTTTAGCCGGTCAGAATCAAACTCCTAGAGTGAGCAATGAGTTGGCCTGCAACACTGCATTGCAAGCACTGCGCCACCACGGCTCTTCGTGATCATGAAGTTAATGAAGAAGAATAAAGAAAAATAAAAATAATAAAATGTTCCCATGTCTCCTTAGGTCCTGGACCTGGATACTATAGCTTACCTCCAACAATTGGATTTGTCAACCATGATTACACCCGCTTCACCAGTCCTGCTTATTCCTTTCGTCAGAGGCTCAACTATCGTGGTAAGGAGGAACAGCACTGTTGAGCATTGCAACTTATAGGATGGGAGTGATCAGCCTCGAGAGATTGTTCCCCTAAAACTTCCACCTTCCATGTTTGTAGAGATTCTCCGTCATCCATCCAGGTCATGGTTGTCCCAAAGGCGCTTTTTCAAGAGGCAACTGGACTTTCTTGCTTTTTCTTTGAAGACGTCTCGCTTCTCATCCAAGAAGCTTCTTCAGCTCTGACTGGATGGTGGGGAATGGAAGGATTTATACTCCTCAAAGACAGCTGGTCATTTTTGCATCAGTGGCGGGATTCAAATTTTTTTACTACCGGTTCTGTGGATGTGACTAGGTGGGTGTGGCCATGTGACTGGGTGGGCGTGGCTTTTCAGTTTTGCTTTTTTGCAGTTCCCCCCCGCCCCTGCACCCATTTTGGGGGCCTTCTGGGCCTCAAAGGAGCTTCTGGGGGGTGTTTTTGCTCCCAGAAGGCTCCTCTGAGACCCAGGAAGGGAAAAAAATGGAGTTTTTTGGGCCTCAGCAAAGGGAAATCCTGGCACAGCTGATTGTATGAACAGCTGATTGTTGGGAGGGGAAAAAAAGAAATACCTTAAGGGGCCAGCGTCAGGAGGGCGGGGTGAGCAAGCATCGGGCGGGCGGGGCAAGTGAGCCAGCGACCGGTCGGGGGCGTGGCCAGCCAGAACTTACTACCGGTTCATCAATGCACACCAAATCCTTGCTACCTTGCTACCTGATCCAGTGCAAACCGCCTGATCTGGTGCAAACCGGCTGAATAGCACCACTGATTTGCATCCTTCCGTTTCGGAGCTGTCCCAACTTGAGCAGCTTTAATGGCTGCCTCTTTGCCGCTGGCAAGAAGAGCTTCTCCTGGATCTACCAGGGACTTTGCAGTATCCCTGGGATCTACAGGATGCACTCTTCACTTTCTCCGTCTCTTCGGGACGGTTTAGATCCGTATGGACCATCCGGGGGCAAAGATATCGGCTGCGATCTCAGACCTCCGAGATCGCATGCCGTATCGTCGCGACGCCAGCTCCGCCCTCTCCTGATCCGGTGCAAACCGGCTGAATGCCACCACTGATTTGCATCCTTTTAGAGGGTTGTTGAAGCCCTTGGAGGTTTATCTGTGTCCTCAGAGCCACCTGAGTGGTGGTCCTGGTTCCTGTAGCCTGCAGTTCCTCTTGAAATCTATTCCCACTCCCACCCCATTCAAAGGATTGCAGACTACTGCACCACCCAGGAGACCCTGAGGACACAGATAAACCTCCAAGTGGCCTCAACGACCCTCTAAAAGGATGCAAATGACCAGCTGTCTGCAAGGAGTATAATTCCATTCCATTCTCCACCATCCAGTCAGAGCTGAAGAAGCTTCTTGGAGGAAAAGCGAAATGTCTTCAAAGGAAATGCGAAAAAAGTCCAGTTGCCTCCTGAAAAAACACCTTTAGTTCCACGCTCCATACATCTGATAGGATGTGGAGATCGATACAGGTAGTTCTCGACTTATGACCAACATTTGGGACCAGAATTTCTGTTGCTAAGCAAGGCAGCTGTTAAGTGAGTCACTCCTGAGCTTACCATGTTTTTGCTGTCGTTGGTAAGCAAATTATTGGTTGTTTAGTGAATCACATCATTATTGAAAGAATTCAGCTTTTCCCATTGACTTGGCTTGTTGATTGATTGAAGTTGATTGACACGGTTGCAGAGGTGGGATTCTACCGGTTCGCACCTATTCGCTAGAACTGGTTGTTAACATTCTAAGCAGTTGGGAGAAGTGGTTGTTAGAAGAAATTACTGGCCTAATCCTGTAAGGAAGGCAGGAAGGAAACATTCTGGTGTTGCTTACAGAAACTGCCTCTCCATTAACCCTTATTACATTCTTGGCAGGACTAGATTTCCTGTCTCTGGAACTTCTCTGGAGTTTTTTTCCCCTCCTTTGCTAGTACTTTGCTTGTGTGGAGTGACCATTGAAAAAAAGTGATTTATGACCGTTTTTCAGACTTACGACTGTTGCAGCATCCCCATAGTCACAAGAGGCCAGGCGAGGAGATGCGTGCCTTGATGTGAATGATGTTGAGTTGGCCACGCCCAGCCAATAACATGACCACCAAACCACGCCCACCCAGTCACATGACCACCAAGCCACGCCCACCACCTAAGCAACGCTCACAGAACCGGTTGTGAAAAATTTTGAAGCCCACCCCTGCACGGTTACAAATGGCAATCATGTGACCCCTGGATTCTGCAACCGTTGTAAATGCAGTAGTCCTCGACTTATGACCACAACTGAGCCCCAAATTTCTGTTGCTAACCAAGACAAATTTAAAGTCAATTTGCCCCATTTTACGACCTTTCTTGTTTCGCTTGTTAAGTGAATCAGTGCAGATATTAAGTTAGTCACACGGCGAATCCAGCTTCCCCGTTGACTTTGCTTGTCGGAAGGTCGCAAAAGGGGATCACTACAACCGTCATAAATATAAGTCAGTGGCCAAGAGCCTGAATTTTGTTCACATGACCGTGGGTCGTCAGTGTGAAAAATGGTCATAAGTCACTCTTTTCAATGCCGTTGTATCTTTGAATGGTCACTTAATGAAATAAGGCGAGGACGACCTGTATTCAGTGTTCAGTTCCTGAGGGAAGTTGAATTGTTGACTCCATAGAATCATGTTTCTCATCCTTGGCTCCTCTATAGTATGTGGAGTTCAGTCTCTCTCAGCCTAACCCACCTCACAGGACTGTTGTTGTGGGGAAAATAGGAGGCAGGTGTACTGGATATGTTCACCACCTTGAATTATTTGGAAAAATAATAAAGGCGGGATATAAATAAACAACCCCCACACCAGTAGTGGGATTCAAACATTTTTACTACTGGTTCTGTAGGCGTGGCTTTGTTGGTGTGGCTTGGTGGGTGTGAGTGGGGAAGGATACTGCAAAATCCCCATTCCCTCCCCACCCCACTAACCTGCTTTCCAGCTCCGTTCTCCTGTGCAGGGCAACCTAAGAAGACCCAGCCAATCAGGAGGCAGAGAATAGATGGGGGCGGGGGCAGTCAGAGGCGGGATTTGCAGTTCTCCAAACTACTCAAAATTTCCTCTAAGAGTTCTCCAGAACTGGTCAGAACCTGCTGAATACTGTCTACTATTCTGTATACTGTACTGTACTATACTATACTATACTATACTATACTATACTATACTATACTATACTATGCTATACCGTCTAATATTGACCTCACCCCTTTCCTAAGAGGTCTGTAGGGGGTGTGCATAAGCGCACCAATGTGCCTACCGTCCCTGTCCTATTGTTTCTTTTTATTTTTCTTATATGTATCCATTTCATGTGTTCATAACTATGTTTATCCTTATACCCATTATCTTACAATCGCTTGACAAATAAATACAATAATAAATAAATAAATAAATACCACCTCTGCCTCCTGCCCCCCCAAACTCCCAGAATTCCCCACATAAATGCTAGAATAAACTGAAGCATTAACCATACACCGGAAGATCCGTTTACAAACGGTTCTCTTTCTTTCATTTCCTTTGCTCTCAGCCCACGATGCAAGTCCCGGACCGTGTTACTACGTGTCCCCTGAGCTTACACGCTTTGGCAGGGCGAAGGGCCCTTCTTACTCCATGTTGGGACGAGCAAAAGCTCCAGGTGAGCTCCAAGCAATAACGGCAATAGGAATGGGGAGGAGGGAAAGAGGGAAAGGAGGAACGTGGAGGGAGGGAAGGAAGGAGGGAGAGAGGGAGGGAGGGAGGGAGGGAGGAGGAAGGAAGAAGGAAAGGGAAGGAGGAGGGAGGGAGAGGAAGGAGGGAGGAAGAAAGAAAGAAGGAGGGAGAGAGGAAGAATGGAAGGAGAGAGGGAGGAAAGAAGGAAAGAAAGGAGGGAGGGAGGAGGAGAGGGAAGTAGGAGGAAGAGGGAGGAAGGGATGGTGGGAGGAAGAAAGGAGAGAGGGACAGAGGGAGGGAGAAAGGGATGGAAGGAAGGAGAGAGAGAGAGAGGAAGGAGGGAGGGAGGAAGAAAAAAGGAGGGAGGGAGCAAGAAAGGAAGGAGAGAGGGAGGAAAGAAGGAAAGAAAGGAGGGAGGAAGAAGCAGAGGGAAGTAGGAGGAAGAGGGAGGAAAGGATGGAAGGAAAGAGGGAGAGAGAGGAAGGAGGGAGGAAGAAAGAAGGAGGGAGAGAGGAAGAATGGAAGGAGAGAGGGAGGAAAGAAGGAAAGAAAGGAGGGAGGAAGAAGGAGAGGGAAGTAGGAGGAAGAGGGAGGAAGGGATGGAAGGAAGGAGGGAGAGAGAGGAAGGAGGGAGGAAGAAAGAAGGAGGGAGAGAGAGAGAGAGGTAGGAAGGAAGGAGAGATAGAGGAAAGAAGGAAAGAAAGGAGGGAGGGAGGAAAAAGGAGAGGGAAGAAGGAGGGAGAGGGAAGGAGGGAGGGAGAGAGAGAGGAAGAAAGAAAGGAGGAAGGGACAGCAGGAGGAAAGGAGGGAAGTAAAAAGGAGGAAGGGAAATATGGAGGAAGGGAGGAAAGAAGGAAGGAAGCAGACAGGATGGGAGAGGGGGGGAGAGAGAAAGAGGCAGGCAAACAGGAATAGTTGAAGTCCACACAGTCTAAAATCCCCAAGGCCGAGGGACGCTGTTCTACGGGTTCATCGCTTTGCCCCAGGCTCCTGAGGCCGACTCTCTCTCTCCTCTTCTCATCAAAAAAAAAAAAGGCCTCCAAATTCCACATTCACCTCATCCTTTACCTCCCCAGGTCTGCCTCAAAGCCCCGGACCAGGTACATACAGTCCAGAGAGGCTGGGACCCAGCCTTCAGCAGAGGGCGCCCTCCTTCTCCATAGCTGCCCGCACCAAATCCCGTCCCGTGGACCCCGTTCCGGCTTCCAACAGCTACATCCTCCCCTCCCTGCTCAGGGCACGGATCCCCAGCAGGCCCTCCAAGGCCACCCATGCTCTCTCTGGCAAGAACGCCAAAGGCAGCGCTTCTCAGGACCCTCGCCAAATGCCTGGCCCCACCAGTTACAAGCCCCGTGCACCCGCCGTCTGCTTCGGCCGCCCCGCAGCTTTCTCCATCTTGAAGAGGCTCCAGAAACCCACAAAGGCCTTCCAGACTCCTGGGCCAGGAGCCCACAGCCCAGAAAAAGTGACCATTCACAGGACAGGGGCGCCTTCCTATTCTTTTGGCGTCCGTCACTCCGAATATCTCATGCCGTTCATCCCTGATGCTCCAGAGTGGTAGGGCAACAGAACGGAGTGGCCTTCTGGAGTATTTTCAAAATTATTATTATTATTATTATTATTTTTAAATTATTCCTTACTAGCTCGATACCCATGCTTCACTACGAAACTATGTGGTTGGCCTTAGTGTTTGGGGAGGAAAATGAGGGGGGAAATTCTGCCTCTACATCCATCAGTATTCATCCAGCTAACGTCCTGTCAGTGTGTGAGAGATTTGAGGGCTGTTTGGAAGCTGAAGCAGTATTTTCTGTGTGAGCAAGAAGGAGACAGCAAGGAGCCTGGGAGTGGCTTAGCTCAACTGTTCTGTACTAAAGCTGCTCGGTGCTCTGAAACTAAAACTGAAACTCCTCTCTGCTTGTGTTTTGCAACAGATTTCTTTTCAGGTGGTGAGAGGGAGTAGAACTCCTTAGCATCAGAGCATGTTAATAATAATATAGGAAATACTAACGCTCCAATGATGGTCATTTAAAAAAATCCTTTCTTAGTGAGCACCTAGAAGCCGAAAGGAACATATGTGGCAAATTTCAAGTTTGTAGGCTTTACGATTCTGGAGATTTTGTGACGATGCATGAATGCTATTTCGTTATCATATATATAGAAAGATAAATTCCTGATTATTAATTATTTTAATTTTTTTTTACAAAAAGCATAAAAACAAAAGCAAATTAATAAAGAGCAAAAGCAGGAGAAAGAAAAAAAAAACAAAAGGAAAGAAAAGAAAGGAAAGTGTGAATTCTAGTTTCATCCTTGCCATGGAAGCTGACTGGGTGACTTTGGACCAATCACTTGGTGACCGTGAGTTCTAGTCTTGGCTTATGCAAGACAACCGGTTGGTGGCTATGGGCCAATCACCAGGAGCTGGTGAGTTCTAGTCCCTCCTTATGCACAAAAACAGGTTGGGTGGCTATGGGCCAATCCTTCTCTCAACCCAACCCACGTTGTTGTGAGAAAAAAATAATAATAAGAGAAGGAAGGTGTGGGGGATATGCCTGCTGCCTTGAGATATTTGCAGAAATAACAAAGGCGGGATAAAAAATACAGCAAAATAAAATTAAAGTAATAGTACAAAAGGAGAAAGAGAAAAACACAGAAAGAAAGAATAAAATAAATAGAAGAAGCTTCTGACTTCCTTTGCTGCCAATTATCTCCTTTATAATCGCAAAGGAGACTTCATTCTTTTTTATCATCTATTATCAAAATTGAATTTCGAAAATTATCTTATCTTTAAAAGTTTTGTTTCTTACAGTGTTTGAGCAACTGGAAATTGCCAGTCATAATGAATAATAATCTGAAAGAAAAAAACCCTCCTGTTTTAATGATATATTAGAATAAATTCTCATGATAGAGAAGACATGTTTGAGAAAGGTTGAGAGTTTTAAAATGAATATAAATTGGAATTAGAGGTTGTTGTTTTTTTTTTAAAAAAAGATTGCCAGTCAAAAATTTGAAAGAGTATTGTGACTTTTCCCATTATAGATGATGGTAGTCCTCTAATTACAACCAGAACCGAGCCCAAAGTTTCTCTTCATAAGCAACACGTTATTAAGAGAATTTTGTCATAGTCAAAGAGTATAAGCCCTCAGTGTGCGGTGGCAGCCAAAAAAGCCAATGCAATCCTAAATTGCATTCACAGAGGGATACAATCAAGATCAAGGGAGATACTAATACCACTCTATAAAGCCTTAGTAAAACCACACCTAGAGTACTGCATCCAGTTTTGTTCACCACATTATAAAAAGATGTTGAGGCTCTAGAAAAAGTACAGAGAAGAGCAACCAGGATGATTAGGGGACATACGAAGAAAGGTTGCAGGAACTGGGCCTGGTTAGTCTAGTGAAGAGAAGAACCAGGGGAGACAAGATAGCAGTCTTCCAATATTTGAGGGGCTGCCACAGAGGCGAAGGGCTCAAGCTATTCTCCAAGGCACCTGAAGGCCAGACCAGGAATAATGGATGGAAACTGAACAAGGAGAAATTCACCTGGAAATACGAAGAAATTTTCTGACAGTGAGAACAATCAACCCACGGAACAGAAGTTGCTCTCGGAAGTTGTGGGAGTGCCATCACTTGAGACCTTCAAGAAGAGACTGGACTGCCATCTGTCAGAAATGGTGTAAGGTCTCCTGCTTGGGCGGGAGGTTGGACTAGATGACCTACAAGATCCCTTCCATCTCTGTTAATCTGTAAATCTGTTATCTGTGTAGGAGTAGATGAATATTAATAATTGGTGTTTCTGTTAGCATTGATGCTATTACTATTATTATTATCTTCTGATTGGGAACTGTGGTGCTGATGACAAGCTTCTCTGGTATTTATACAGTGCTGTACTATTTAAATTTGCTTGATTTATTAATTACAATCACTTCTTTGATACTTCAGTTGTACAATTAAGCATAGCATAGAAATCATACAACATATTCAACATTACTGTATATTTTCACTGGGAACAAAAATGCGTAATTCCCACAATAAAACCGTAATATATTATCAGTATGCTTTGTATAGTCTAATTTTTCTACAATATTCTTTTTTTTTTTGCTGTATACAGTTATTTCTTTGGGTTTTGCCTATTCCTTTAGTCTGGGTAACAGCTAGCTTGGTTTTTAATGTGTCTTCTTAACATTGTTGTACAGAGACATTGAACTGCTATTTCTTTTTTTCAGTTCTGTGCTTAAGTGCAAGGTAAATAACGGTAATATTCTTTTAAATTATGTTTATTTAGATAAGCATGAAACAGGGTGACGTGATTTGTTTGTTTTTCGCTGTCAGATTTGTATTGGCTCTTTGTAAAATGAGGAACTTGTTTACTCAAGCAATGTTAGAGGTCTGCGACTTGTTTCTATGATGTTTTTGTTCTCTGTTAGATTGTATTTGTGTTTGTGTTTTGTGAAATAGAAAATGCACCTCCCTTTAAGCAATTATACTTTCTGTATTCCCATTTGCCTTTGAAGCTTTGAAAATGATTTATGCATTAATTGGGTAAGGCTGAGACACAAGCGAACAAAAGACCACGGGTTCATTTATTTAAATATAAATATTTAAATGTAGCTGCCTCTCTCACTTGGGGGCAATCCTGTTAGCGCATGAAAGGCTAAAGCCAAACAGGGACAAAATACAAAATAAAAGTTCAGAATAGCTAAATACAGTCCATTTCAATGTTCTAGTCTGAAGGCTGGATCCAAACCCATCAATCTAAACCCACCAATCAACCAACGGGACCTGTCATTTCCCCTTCGGAATCTGAATCTGAGGACGAAGACGAACAATGTGGCTCTGTTGGCTGTGGAGGAAACTGGGGAAGGGCAAAGTCCGGCTGGGCAGAGCAGGGGAGAGGTAGAACAAGGGAGAGGGAGTTTAGAGGAAGACCCAGGCCCACCCCCCCTTCATCCTAGGGTACGCAGGGAGGAATGGAGAAGGGAGCAATGTGAGTTGCATGGCTTATGGGGGAGGAAAGGGCCCTGATTCCCTTCACAAGGCGCACCTGGAGATGGAGTTTAAAGGAGAGGCATGCTGAGTGCGGTGTCTGCTGGGAACAAATGTGAGTTTACCTTGTGTTGACTTTGGTTATCTCCCAACTGGGTTGAATTACTGCCGTTCTTGCCCTGCAAGACTAATTACCTCGCCTTGCCTTGATCGGACTTAAAGTTACAGCTTGTGTTGACCATGTTTTGGACTTGTTTCTCTGCAGCGAAAGGCTGTTCCTGGGAGAGTTTTTCTCCACCCCAGAAGGTAACCAGGACGTTGGGGGCCAAATTGGAGCTAATTAAGGGATTATCTGACTGAGTTGCCTTTGTGCCCTGCCCCTTTGGGTCATCACAGGACCCACTTAATTTTCCAGCCCCAAATCTTAGGGAAACAAACAACCAATTTTTAATGCTTGACAAAAGAACAACAGGATCACACCAGAGATGGTTATTCAGCCAGTTCTGACCAGTTCTGGAGAACCAGTAGTGGAAATTTTGAATAGTTCAGAGAACCAGCAAATCCCACCTCTGACTGGAGATTTTACAGTATCCTTCCCCTGCCACGCCCACCAAGCCACGCCCACAGAACTGGTAGTAAAAAAAAAATTGAATCCCACCACTGGCTCACACTATCTGGAACTCTGGGGGTGGTGGTGGATATAGGTAGTCCTCGACTTACAAGCGTTCATTTAGTGACTGTTTTAAGTCACAACAACACTGAAAAAAGGTGATTTATGATCAGTTCTCACACTTACGATCATTGTACTGTAGCATCCCCATGGCCATGTGATCAAAATTCGGGAATGCTGGGATGTACAGGTAGTCTTCGACTTACAACAGTTCATTTAATGACCGTTCAAAGTTACAACAGCACTGGAAAAAGTGACGTATGACCCTTTTTTTTTACACTTACGGCCTTTGTAGTATCCCCATGATCATGTGATCAAAATTCAGATGCTTGGCCACTGACTCATACTTATGACCTTTGCTGCAGTGTCCCAAGATCATAGGATCACCTTGGAAGTCGGCTGGAAAAGTCACAAATGGTGGATCACATGACTCCTGGGACACTGCAACCGTCATAAATACAGGCAGGCCTTGATTTTGTCGTAAGTTGAGGATTGTCTGTATTGGCTGATATGGGCTCACACTGCATGTTGTAGATGACTCCAGTTTTGTCTTCTTGGGTTTCTGGGTCTTTTGATTTATGTAATAGCCATAGCAATAGCGCTTAGACTTATATACCACTTCACAGTGCTTTACGGTCCTCTCTAAAGCAGTTTACAGAGTCAGCCTGTTGTCCCCCAAAATCTGGCTCCTCATTTTACCCACCTCAGAAAGCTGAGACAATCTGGAGCTGGTGAGACTTCAACTGCCGAACTGCCGGTAGCCGGCAGTCAGCAGAAATAGCCTGCAGTACTGCACTCTAACCACTGCACCACCACAGCTCTTCATGTAAGATTTTTTCTTTTTTGAAGTGGCTTTGCTTGGTTTCTATGCTCCCTTGTGATGCCTCAGGGTTATAACACAATCCTTGG